AGAAAAATGATCTTTTTGCTGCTACGCCCATACATATGAACTCTGAATGGTCATGTTTTCTTCTTTTTTTGAATATCCTTAATGGAAAGAAGGCCCTGAACAATGAGTTCCAGGGTTAGATGACCTTCCTACTGTTTACCAGTGTGTGTCTCTTTACTGCAAGACCTTGTCTTTTCTTTTCCTCCCCTCTTCTCTGCAGTAAACCTTGTTATTGAAGTCAGGAGGCATCGCGGTGCCTTTACTACAGTTGACAAAGCCAGGCTTGAAGGTGAAAAGAGGAGACAACCTTTAACACGGGACCGCCATGTCCTTTTAGGCACAACAATTAATTTTGCAACCTTGTACAGTAGTAGTCTAAATGGCCTCCTCAGCAGCTGCGCTGTGTGATTTCACATGTCGTGAGATACTGAAAGAACCAAAGAAGAAAAAAATAAAAACCATTATGATTATTGCTTTGTTTGGTTGGTGTACTACCCTTAGTACATTTCCTTGGGCTCTTTGCGAGTTTTTGTCAGACATCCTATAAAATAAAAGCAGTAGAGATGATTGCACTTACTTTGCCGTTCCCACTGTCTATTATCATCTGCTGAGGTTGTCACAGCCATTGTTTAATACCAACCAGCCACTGAATCTGTAGTAATTGCTGCCGCTGAATGCCTCTAAAGTATGAGCCTCTCTCATTGTATGCCACCAGCGGTAACATCTATGTGCTGCTGCCTGCAGGCGAGTTCCTGAGATATTAGTTCTCCACTCTCAGAACTGTTAGTCACACTGACAGACACCTGAGGCGATATGAAATGTCCCTCAAAGCCATGAAAGAGGGAGACGGGCTACTTCTCTTCTTCAAAACCTGCGAGTGAGGAGCAAAGAGATGCAGAGGGGAGGGGAGAGCAACTTTCTAAAGCTGCACTTATACCCCTTCGCATATGGGGGCCATACCTCGGAGTAGACATGAAGGGGGAACCCATATAGCTACAAGGCCCGGTATCATAAATAACACAAGACTTCTCTCCCTTCTCCGTCTCCTCCAGTTCACTGCTGGAGTGTTTCATATGGTAACTAGGTGTTCACTGTGTGGCCACATTGTTGCCCATCTTTCAAGATGCTCAGAGGAGGAAACCTTGAGGTAGGGGAAGAGAAGGAATTTTTGATGAAAAAATGCATTATTCTGTTCTTTTTCCAGTCCCCACCCCTCCTTTCTCTGCCATTCACTGTGGGAGTTGAGTATTTATTACATAAACGGTAAAAAAGAGGAGAGGAGAATTCGGCGAGAGAAAGAGCTAGTAATAGAGAGTAAGAAAAGCTACAGGCTCTTTCACCTGTCAGGTTAAAAATGTGGGTTACATGGAATGAGCAGGTTTCTGTCCTCCACTCTCCGACCTGCAGACTAATATGATGTACATCTGCAGAGGTTCCATTCCTCCAGTTTCATCAATGTCCATCTCGAGTATTGATCCAATAGAACTTGACTATTACCTGTCATTAAATCAAAAGGTCTGCAGCTTCCCATGGCTTCTTAACACAACGTAAACTAGAAGGGCACACAAGAGTGCATACCTCAATCAAGCTCCATCAAATTGCACACACTAATAGTGATCAGGTCTCTAAATATTTTCTATATATTCGTCAACATCCATCAGTGAAAATGCCAAAAAAAACACCAGGCAGCGTTAAAGAAAGGGAAAAACAATTCCTGGATCCGGCCCCTGATCCAGATCCACAACAAAATGTGATGGCTTCTTCCCTGACACTTATCAAATCCTTCCACCCAGTTCCGTGGTGATGTGTCCAGTAGTTTTTTCAGAATCTTGCTTACAAACCCAAACTCTCAAACTACCTGTCGCATCAAGCCAAAGAAGTTCATGCTTCACTTGTTTTTGTTTCTGTTTGACGAGCACGATGTGAACTTGTTGGGCTATTGGCTTTTTCCGGTGGAATAATAAGGCCTTTGGCGCCGGTGCTCTTCGGCTCCGTTACACAAAGCAAGAGGATGAATTGAGCTGTTAAACAGAAGAAAACACAGTTAAGCTGGAGATGGATGCATGACAACAGAAGGTAGATTTCCTAACCTTACAACCCAAACCCTGTTCCTACAGATGTCTAATCATTCTCCCATGAGTCAGTGATAAATGATTATTTAACATCAGCACATTAACAATATGAAACCCCTTTAAATGATCTGAAAGTGGTTCCCAAAATCTAAACGCTTCTCTGCCTGTAAGCAGCTTGGCTCGTTCACAACGATGATGTGGAATCTCAAGAATCCCGACCAAGTACATTATTCAGCCGCTCCTATTATTTTCCATAATTGCCAGCATTGTAGTGGTGTTTGTAATGTCATTAATAACAAGCGTTGGCGTATAATACGCTTAATGTTATTTATCTGTTGGCACATAGCTTGATGCTGCTAATCCTCATTCATTTGCTGTGGATCAATGCAAATCCGCTAGTGTGAGTGAAATCCCCCTCCCCCTCCCAGAGCCGATGGTTCCTAATGTATTTTCCCACCATTAACCAGCCATAATCCCTGCTAATCATCACTAATCCACATCTCCTGTGTGTGACGATACTTCCCTGATGAAGGAGGCATCGGTGTTCGCCGGCGCCCGGGCTCTGCCGAGGCTGCAGCTCCTCCACGGGTGCTGCCCAGGGCCCACTCGGTGCAGGAGAGTGGTCTGCAGAGAGGGGAAGAGGAGCAGAGGAGGAGAGGGTGAACTGTGGTGATTTGTAGGTCAAATAGCTGGGTTTTGCTGTTTAGTGATGAGTTCTCCTCATGTTTTATTGATTTATCAGCATAATGGAGGTTGTGTCCCTCCATACGGACCAGAATAAAAATTGCATATCATCAAAAAATAACAGTTGGTAGCAGTCACCATGATCTCTCATGTCTGGTCAACTGTGGACTCCTTCTGTTTCACCATCTATGTCACTCCGGAGGCCTCTGTTTTTACATTGTATTTCAAACATGTCCCTTAAAGCCGCTCAGAGCCTGTTCTAACACGGAGGTTTGATCCCCGGGGTCATATTTAAAACTTTTTAAAATGTGATTTCTTTGATTTCTGCTCGATGCTGAAGTGGAGGAGATACAGGGCTGACGACTGGTCAGCAGGAGTGTGCACATGAGAGAGACAACACTTTACATCCTGCACAGCTACACACGTCAATCGCCTTCATATGAGAGAACGTTCTGTTCTGTAAAGTTTCTATAGAGCTTTCAAATGTACTTTTCCTGTGTTTCATCATCATACAAAGTGAACGGCTGAATGACTTGTTGTGTCTCACAGGCCAAAGTGCAAAAAGGTAAACACAGAACAACCACCAAAAGAAATGAAGGGGCTGTGTATACGTATATGTAAACACAGTAAAAACCAGCCAAGACTGACAGAATAACTCATCAAATGGATTTTAAAAAACAGCAGATACAACAAAACGCTGGTCAGCAACGTAGTTATCCACATATTATTACTGTGGGTGTATATGGAATATTCAATCTATGAAATAATAACATTGACAAACACTTTGCAAAGTGCTTTACATGGATCAGGATTAAAACTCAGCACCAAGGTAAATACGATCAGGGCACAAAATAATACAGAAATACAATTTCAAAATAAAGCATTAAACCAAGAAAACGGTCAACACATGAAAAGTTGTTTCTAGAGGTGATTTCAAAACTGACGGAGGCTCCGAGGCTTCAATATGAAATGTAGTGATTCTGTGTCAGTAACTAAGAATAATAGAATATAGATGAGAGTATAATATTGGTTGGACTAAGTGAAGCTGCTGACATTAATGATGGATGTTAATATTATTGTTATTATTATTTTTACAGCTCCTTTCTGTCAAACTCTGAGGCCGAGCTTTTGCAGTCCCCAGGTTTTGCCAGCTGGGGGCGCCTGTGACTCGCTCTTCTGTGGGACTGTGTGCTCCTTCACCTCCTCTTCCTCAGTCACCTCTGCACAGCTTCTTCATTTTTACTTTCGCATCACCGCAGCTATAAAGTGCGATGCAAAAAATCCGACGGAGCTGCGCAGTGTTTTCACGAATATCGCGTAAAGTTTTTCTCTTAACGAATGTCTCTGATGTAAAAAATAAAAATAAAAAATCAACTTTAAAATGAAATAGAAATTACGCAAATGGGAGGAAAACATTCGTGCATGTTGTTTGCTATTGTTTGAAAAGATGTGCACATTTTATCAAAATACATCAGCAGCAGAATAAATGTCTTGACTTTGAGTTTCCTTTAGAATCTGAACGACACTTCCAACTTTTGTCTTTTATCGTGTTCGTGTTTGACGCTTTGATTCAGAAAGTGGCTTCAGATAATATACACGTGCGCGTGCTCGATATAACTATTAGAAATAACTTGCCCCTGATAATTAAAGTGAATTCTGACAAGTTGACGCTTCTTCTACAAACCCAGACTTTATAACATCGAGATTGTGGATGTAGATTTCCATCTTGCTTTCTCTATATTTTTCTTTTTATATATAAAAAAACATTTTCTGTGTTGTTTTTTTTTTACCATTTACAAATAAAACCGTGGGGGTGAAAATACAAGATGGGCCTAATGATGCTTCTCTGAGAAACAGTTTCATATGTAGATGCAGAAACAATCAAACAGCCGCTGTGGCCCGTGATGCTACGAAAACAACAAAAACCTGAAGTTTAAAACTGCATTAAATAATTATGATTCAGAGAAACTGATGTAAAAATAGGTTTGCTTTGAATCAGGCCTTTATTTTTCCCTCTGAACTTCCGGGCCTGCTCCTCTTGGTTATTTTTCCTCCTCTATCTTTAGAAGAAGAGGCGGTTTTGTGGCCTGCAGGAGTTTCTGCTTCCAGAGATTTTCTTATTTTAATCGCTCAGAAGATGACAAGTGATGCTCGCTGGTTTATATAAGCAACGTTAAATAAATCTCTCTCTCTCTTCATAATAATAATCATAAGAAATAGTAACGGCGATAATAAGCAGTCAGACAATACTTTCGTTATTAATATTGCACAATTTAATACTGCGATTACACAAAGATGTGAACAACGTCAGAGACTGTGTGAACTTAGCCTGAGGTAAAATACTGTTGTCTACTCCCCTTAACAGCACATGTACACAGCTTCTGATTTGAAACGACCCCCTGTTACATAACGAACCACTGCTATTTCCACTGAACACACGGTGCGCTCACTGAACACCATTTATCATCATCATCATCTTCATCATCTTCATCCTGTGTGTGTGCTGCTGCTGATGCCACAAACACACACACACACACAGCAACACACTGCAGGACGAGCGGGTTTGGATCTTAATGAAGACAAAAGACCATTTCTTGTATATATGTTTTATGTAAGTAATAAAATATTACTATAACATAAATATAAATGTGACTTTGCAGTCTACATTTAGCAATCAACATACAACCAATGTAGTAAACAAAAAGGAAAATAAGAACATACTGAAGTCCACTGCAACATAACCATTAACAGAGCTGAACAAAAAAGCTCCAAACACGTTTAAGAAATAAATATATATATATATAAATGGTCAGATTCATAAATGAAATCATATTAAAATATCTTCTTGGAATTAGTAAGTGTACAAAACTGCCCGGAAAGAAACAAAACAAAACAAAAACCATATCTCAGAACAAATACAAGTTTACATATTGGACATATTTACATATTGGAAATAATCCTGGCAACATTTTCTCTAAAATCTTTTTTTTTTTCATTATTATTATTATTTTTTCTTGGAAAAAAAAAGTTTCCCTCATCTTGTATTGAGTAGCACTGCTGTAGGCTTTTTGGACTGGTCCAACATTGAGAAATGACACACAACGCATGAGATTTTTCAGATTTCCTTTCAGGACAGAAGAAAAAATAAATATATCGAAAGTACGTCCCTTCATCGCTTTCCCTTTAGGAATTATTATTATTATTATTATTATTTTCTTAACTCCGAATCCAGCGTTTTATTATAATACAATGACTATATGGGACAAAGGAAAAACGGTGTGGTAGTAACCAGATTAAAACATATATTTTAAAAATAAAGAAACCACAGAGGAACATAATTCATGTACAGGCGTGATATTCCGACGTGGGGGCACTGAAGTTACCTGAGTTATTATTACTTTTCATTTCGTATGTGACCAATCTCTGTTGAAATGTCTGGAAACAACAGGGTTGAGGAGGCAGTGAGCAGTGTGCGCTCTGTGGTGACAGCCAGGGACCTGTAAACATGCTGGGCTTTTATTGGGTTTAAGCTCCACACACTATTTTATCAACGAACGCAAAGAAATTAAATTGCAATAATAATATTAACAAAAGAAGAATAAGTGCTCCATGCAAAGAAAACAATGACACAACCCTCAAAGAAAACAAGAAATGCCTGTTGCCCCTTTTTTTAGCGTCTGGTGCTTGTTTTGCAAATTTCGACGTGATGAGCTGCAAAGCTTTAAATATTATTTTTTTAAGGCATGCAGTCAGAACTTAGACGTCCTGTTGCACTGGACATTTTTCTGAAATACATTAAAGTGTGAGTCTTTTCTCTTTTTTTTTTTGTTCGGGTGCCACGATTTCTACCACTGCTCCTCCATCAGCTGAGTAAACAGAACAAATATTAAAAGAAGCTGCTCTGACGAGTCACAGCAAATCAAGACAGAAGTGACAGACAGTTCTGCAGAAAGAGGTTAAAACATATCTCCAAAGCAACAACAGAAAAAAAAACATCACACTTCATATAACAAAGAAAGTATACACCGATATTCAGAAATCTGGTTAATCAGTTTTGAGGCTGAAAAAGCAAAACGTGTTCATTCAGTGTTTTCAGCTCCAGTGTTGATGGTTTTTCAGGAAACCACGTCGCTGTGGTGAGTTCATTTTACACAGATGGCCTCAGTTGACACATTTCACGAAACAGCCATGGGATCAAATTTTACTCGTCACCTCCATATAATTTTGGTAAATAAAGATCTTTGTTTAAATGCGCACAGAATCAATAAAAGCGAACTTTTTTTTTTCTCTTTTTTTCCCCCATGATTATTTTCTTAACATTTCTTTCTCGTCATCTATTTGTTGGAAATGACGATCTCCAAATACTAAGGGCAAAAAACAAAAAAATAAAAATAAAACTCATCTGTTCAACTTTTCCATGTCTCTTTTTCTCCCTGGAAAACAAAAAGCCAAACTTAAATACTGTAAACTCCATAGTCCCCTTTTTTTTTTTTCTCTTTTCTATCCCCCCGCGGAAATGCTCGGATTGTTCATGAAAATAGTCACTGCACAGGACTCTGTAGTGTGCGGTGTAGAGGAGGGGTCTCTGCTTGGGAATATACGTCCTCCATATTCGGGTGAGGGACCCCCACTGGTGTCATTCTTTTCTCTTTTTGTCTTCTGTTGCAAAACCAAACGCGGACAACCTCTTTTTCCAACTGCAGAGTGCCGGCTAAAGTGCTGATTTCATGAGCAGATGGCTTTGGGCATTTTAAGAAATGATTCTCCAGCGCCCCTTTCACCCCCACTTCAATGGAGGTCCTCTTCTTTCGTTTCCTGCCCTGCGCAGCAATCTTGTCCAAATTGGTGGGACTGCCGGTGTTCGAGTCTGTCTCCTCCAGCCACTTGTTTAGGAGCGGCTTAAGTTTGCACATGTTCTTGAAGCTGAGCTGCAGCGCCTCAAACCTGCAGATAGTGGTCTGAGAAAAGACGTTTCCATACAGGGTGCCCAAGGCCAAGCCCACGTCCGCCTGCGTAAAGCCCAGTTTGATCCGCCGCTGCTTGAACTGCTTGGCGAACTGCTCCAGGTCGTCGGAGCTGGGCGCGTCCTCGTCCGAGTGGTCCTGGTGGTGGCTGAACGCCTGCTGGGGCGACTCCATCTGGTTGTCGTGGCTGCCCGAGTCGTCGTGGAGCGGGTCCCGCATGCCATGGTGCAGGGAGCCGGGCTGGGGACTCAACATCGCGTTGAGGTTTGTGTATCCAGGCTGCGAGTAGACCAGGGACTGGTGGCCGTTGGATGCTGGGGACAGCGGGGACAAGTGGTGCGTCGTGGTGGGCGCCCACGAACCATGGTGGCTACTCTGCGTCTGCTGGTGCACCAGGTGAGATCTGTGGTGGAAGCCGCTGCTCAGGTCCTCTCGGCTCGCCTGCACGCTGGCTTTGTGCTCCTGCTGTCCGATGTGGGTGCCGCTGGACCAGTCGGTGTTGGAGGTGGGCAGCCACTGGTGGTGCGTCAGGCTCATCGGGTGTCCCGTGTTGGTAGCCGCGAGCCCCTGCAAGTACTCGTGGTGCATCATTTTCTGCACCTCTCTGTAGGTCGTCCCCTGGTGCATCCTGTCCGAATCCGGATGCATGAGCGGGTTAGACGGTAAGGAGTTATTCCTCGGAATATACTGAGCTGTTGTCGCCATGGCTCCGACTTCGAAAACTGACGAGCACTTCGGAGGTCTCCAGGCTTTAGAGCTAAAACGCAACAACCTGCTCTGGGAGGTCTTGGGGAAGAGCGAGGACACGCCTCCCCTCCGCTTGTATTGGCTCCTCTCCGATTCGAGCCCACTGGGGACACATTCAATAGGCGCACGGTTTCAGAGCCTGGTACAGCGCATTTTTCGCACAGGATGAATAGAGCTCCGATCTTACATATGCTACAGAAAAAAAACACATGTTCTATTTATTAAATGTCCCTTTGAGTTTTTAAAAGCACTCCTCTCATTTCGCATACCTGCTTTCTATTGATAACTCGTGCGCACTGATAACCTTTCTGCTTCCCCCCCATTCTCTCCGAGGAAGGTGCTGCAGCAGCAGCGGGGTTTCATTAGGTTTCCCTCAGTTTGGATCGGGTTGTTTTGCAAATAACCACGTGGGGGAGTACGGAGATCTTTCTGGAGGACCCCCCCACCACCACCTTTACTTCCACGCACACACACTTCTAAACACACGCCACACCCGTACACCTTCTATAATTGGTCACTGATGATTATAGCGCTCCTCATTTGAAACAGATTATAAGGCGCGATGCTGCAGCTCCGCAGCCTCCCACTCACGGAGAGGCGTGTAAATAAGATGCGTGTGCGTGCGTGAACGTGGCTGTGAATGCGTGTGACAAATCTGCGAAGCGTTCGCTCGATTTCAAAGCCTCCGTGTGTGTCATTTATTTGTATTGTCTCGGTAATTTTCAATGTTCTGTGATCTCATCATCACCACCCACTTAGTTATGATAGGCCAGGATTCGCTCTCTCACACTCTCTCTCTCTCTCTCTCTCACACACACACACACACACAGACACACACACACTCTTACAGTGGGTGTATAGGTGACAGGGGTGACAGATATTATACACAATTCATTCCCATCAGTCACTCTTCTGAGCGCAATAATATGGACGTTATCGAGGTTTAGTGCCATATCTGATAATAATCATTTAGCCCATAATTTGTCATAAAACAATCTAATTTAATTTCCACGTCACACTTGTGTCCTCCTGCCAAGCTGCTGCACGTTACTCTGGATTTCTCCCACCTTGCAAATTTAGATTTCACCGATTAAAAACAGGCCATATTCTTTTTTCTTTTTTTTTTGTGGTAATTATTTCTAAATATCATTTACCTCTGGAAGCATTTCACAGAGAGAGAGAGGGAGAGAGAGAGAGAGAGAGAGACCTTGTGTTTCTTCCTCCCAGGCTCCTGCCTCACTATACCTCTCTCTCCCGGTTGATCTGATTATTTTTCCCTTCACGTTTTGTCCCAATAGCAAATTACCAATTCTATGAATTGCAAAGCAGCCTCAGAGACGCTGAGGGGTAGAGAGAGAGAGGGTGGTGGTGGTGGTGGTGGTGGGGGGGCGAAGATTGAAAGGGATCTTTGCAAACACAATCACGTTCTTAAATGGAAATGCGGGGCTTTAAACAAATCTTACATCTCTCCCGTTCCATTCGCCTAAAACTCTGCAATCAGGCGCATGTTCCACTCCTTCTAAAACACCAGCTTTCTTAAGGGGGGGAGGTTTTTATTTATTTTTTTCTTCCCGCAGACGCAACAGTCCCATTTTAATCATTTACCTGAAAGCGACGACTTTGTTTGTGTCGTTTTTTATCTTCAGACGCGTGTTTGTTTGTTTGTCTGTCACCATCGTCCCCTCGTGAGACTGTTCCCTGTCTGTTTGCAGGACGAGACAACAAGCTGGGCTCGTTTTTAACCCGGGACAACAGGACTCTGAGGTAAGTTGTCTCCTTTCGGCGTGTGACCGCGTCCTTGCTGTACTCTCGTCTCCAGCTTTAGCAGTGTGTGTGTGAGGAGCGTGTGTGTGTGTGTGTGTGTGTTGTCTGGGGGGGGTCACAGGTGCTCGTCATCATCTCGTGAAAGGCGTGGTTTTTAATCCACGCATCCTTTCTCTATATATTTGGGATGAGTGCGGACGATCCTGGCGAGTTGTTGTTGCTTTATTGCAATTTAAATTTCTACCAAAGTCAGATTTTCTGATGACGTTTTTCTTGCATGGTCCTTTTGTTCATTTGATGACACTCTTCCTACGATTCATTTTTGTATTTTATAAATATCTCCCCCTTCATTTTCGAGAAAAATAATTTGCATCATTAAATCACCAAATTTTGAAATGTTATTTGGGGCAACTTATCTCAGAGATTAATTATAAAATGCAAAGGAAAAAAAAAGGAAAAGTTCACGACAATGCTTCTGAAACTCCAGTCGGGACATTTCTTACTGTCGCTGTCTTCAAACTCCTGAGAGTCCCTCAGTGGCTGCGTGTCACCGAAGCTCCAACTCTCCCTTAATGAAGATGCGTAAAAGCCATTCACTCATCCTCGTCCCCCCTCAGTCTATAAAAAGCGGTGGTCTCTGCAACACAGACCCAGTCTTGTGCCAGCGAGGAAAAGCTGCTGGAAAAGAAAGATCCAGATGCTTTGGCCCTTCTTTCTTTTTTTGTAAAGAATATGGCCTTGTGTGCGCTGAGGTGCATATTTGCCGGGACGCACGACGTTTCCATGGTGCGCCCGAAGAAAGAAATCACACAGAAGTTGTGTGTGGTGGGTGACAGTGCGCACAGGGGGAAAAAGGCGCCTGCTATGAACCCGTTATGATGGATTTATGAAATTACGAGGCGCACTGGGTATGAACCGCAGAGCTGAGTGTCGAGGAAGTTGGGTGACCTCTTTTTTTTTTAAAAACAGAAATAAGTGTCTTCTTTGTGTCACCCTGGAAACACAGACGTCCGATTTATCCTCATGTGTCGACTCGATGTGAACATGCAGGAAAACCGTACTCTATGAGAACTACAATTTTATCCAGGACAGAATTACACATTTGCAAACCAGATGTACTTAATGTCTTTACTTTTTAAATGCAGAGTGTTTTCATGTGCAACTTCAATTTATTGGTTTATTATTATTATTATTTTTATGAGGGATCTTTCCTTTTTCAGTCAGTCACGTGTTTGCTACTTAATATGCATCAGTAATATTGTCAGGAAGCAGAACCACCACCAGGACCCCACCGACACCTCACTTCACCAAGTTCCCCTCTGTCTCTCTCTTTCTGCCTGGATGTGAAATTACTGAAAGTCCAGAGCATGAAAATATAAATTCTGCTGTTAATCATAATTGAATTTAAATTAAGCCACTCTATTAAAAATAACCCCTTTTAGGGGGGATATAAGTGCAGGTCTTCATTCCAAGCCTATAAATATGCAAACATTTAATTTTGAAATAAAGTTTTAATAGGGTTTCGTTTTCTAAAGACACAGACCTACACCTGAAATAACACAGTCACATTCCTAAAACGGCCTCGGCCTCATATTAGATGTTAAATACAAGTCTTCCTCAATTCCAGTGGGAACATTTCGACCTGCCACAAGCTATGTTTAGATTTTAAAATTCATGTGATGTACCTCCCAACTACACTGAGTGGAATAATATTCAGCAGCTCACTCAATCAGATAATTGTATTTCGCTTCCACGTGTTTCTTTCTTTCTTTTTTTTTCTCCTTTCTTTTTTTGACAGACATGCGTAATAGGCTCTAAATATGCAACCGTAAAAAAGAAAAGAAAAACAGTTTGCACATCCATTTTGAAGACCAAACCGTCCCATGCTTTTCAGGTAACTTTTTTTTCCCCTCTTTCCTTTTTCCTTTTTGGCTAATGAACTTGGGCTATTCTGCCAGCATCCCAGGAGAATGCAAAGGGGGTTGTGGTGGTGGTGGTGTGTGTGTGTGTGTGTGTGTGTGCGCTTGTATGTGAGTGTGTGAGTGTTTGTGTGTCTGTGTGTGTGTGTGTGAGGGGGGGGTCTTGTGGTAAAAGGTGCTACTTTCTTCCTCTATCTCTCGGCTAATTAGGCGGGGTCTGAACGCGCCAGAATGAATATTCATGAAAAGGCACCGACGCGCAATTAGTAGTGGAGAGAGTTCCCAACTTCAATCCCCAAACAACGCAGCTCTTTGCTGGAGAACGTGGTGCCGGTCCCCGCTATGTAACTCTACAAGAGTCCCTACTTGTGCTCCAGCGCTCTTTCAACCCATAACTTCTACTGTCAATTCTTATCAGCCGCTCTCCTGCTCCCCCTCTTCCTCAAAGCAGCCACCAACATAAGCCATTTGTCCACTCCATGTTAATCTCCATGTAAATCTCCATGTTGGGAATAACAGCCGAACCAATTACATTTATCAATAATGGCTCAAACAGACAAAACAGATAATGTGTCAGTTTCAAACACATCAACATCTATATTTTGAATTCTCAACAACATCATGTGTGTCTTTTACCCACAAATGCATGTGCGGAAACACAACCTGCACATGCACCCATCGCCTAATGACGCACTTCATGTTACGAACTCACAATTTCATAAGCATCACACCTCACTATTCTAAATCCTCTGAATTGCCAATGGCTTCTGGTGCACACATCTGCTTCTTTGCTTAAATCCACCCTTCTACCATGTCTGGCGGTCTGTGTGTCACGCCAGCGTGAGCCCTTCACCCGTGTGGCTGTCCGTCCGCCCTGCCGAGGACCCACAATCCTCCGCTTTGAATTCAAGGTGATTCTTATCCCCGACCCCCCCCTGGCCCTGCACGTTTGCCTCTTGCCTCCATAAAGACGTGTTTATGTATGTATGTATGTGCGGAGGGGAACACGGGGAGGTTTTTCAAGGGTTAGGGGGGAGATAAGCAGAGGAATTTGAGGCCAGTGAATATGGATGGGGTCCCTGCTTTTAGAGAGTGCCGCTGATAGAGAGGTAAACAGCTCCTGGCCAGAAGAAGCAAGGGGGTAGGGGGTGGAGGAGGGGGGGTTGATGCATGCACTGGCATACATTTGAGGCCTAACTCCATACCCCCCCCCTCGCTCTCTGTCATTCACTCACCATCTCCAGGAACTATCTATCACTATTCCTCCTCCTTATTTTGTTGTTGCATTGTCGAGGTTTTGCTTTTGGACAATCTGGTGGATTTGGATGATGAGGTTCTATTATCAATGCACGGGGAGGGAGGGAGTTTGCAAACCTGATTTCAAGCTCAGAAGTTTTTGGTTTTCTAGATGCTGATGCTGCATTTTTTTTAAGGGAAATAAAATCAGTGCAGGCGTTGTTTGAATGTCAGTTATTACTGCCACTCCTGGTAACGCTGATCATTGCTGTTACTATAATTGCTTCCTTTAATAAGCATCTCTTCTGTTCTCTCGTTAAGATGAGGACAAGCACTGTGACATGATGATCTCACACTTATGGCCCTCTCTCTGTTTTTCCCCTTCCCTCTGTTCCTGTCTTCTCTTATCCTGACAGATCCTGCGAGGCTGAGCGGCTTTGCCAACACGAAGGCCACGACCTCAACGGGACACGGCAGGAGTGAGTCGACATGTCTCACACATACTGTGACAACGTGTAAGCGTGCAAACATGTTGCCCGATATGAAAAGTCTGGTGTTGGTACCTCAGCTCAATTCCAGCAGCTTCAACCTTTAATTCTATGCGCTCTCCTCTACTGAAGTTTAGAATGAATACGACTTCACGTGCGTGTGTGAGAAAAACAAGTTGAATAACTGTCACTGGCACTTTCACTAGTTTGGGGGTTTTATATGAAGGATGTCCCTTAAAATATGTAGTCTTGGTTTAGTGAAGTATTTTTAAAAAACAAACTTTTCTAGAGCTAAAAAAATTGTATTTTCATGTGAGTTGGCAGTTTATTGATGTGATAGTGTTGGGGAGAGAGAATGGGGGATGACTCTCATCTCTACGTGCAATGAATGGCGCCTGAGCTACCAGGTGGGCTAGCGCAGACCTTTTAAGCCTTGAGCAGATTTTCATCAGTCAAATCAAAATGAATTTCAGTTTTTCTTTTAACAGCAGCTTATGTTGGGTGATTTTTACGCTGCAATTAACCAAAATGAGGGGACAACAAGGGGAGAAGTATTGGGAATGGGATGTCAGATTTAAAAGGGACCTCTGAGCCAAAGAGTTGCAGATTTCTGTTTTATTTTAACACTCCTGCAGGATTAAAGTGTGAATGAAGTAACCTTTATTCAGCGAAGAATGTCTTTTTTTGAATTTGGCTAATTTAGAGTAGTTGTTTTGTTCCACAGGTGAAGCCTCTGAGGGCCTGACTCCTCTTTAGGGCAGGTGCTTAGTTTTATCACACTTCATCGCTCTCTTGGCCGCGACACAACACAGCTTCTCTCTCTCGCTCTCTCTAACACACACACACACACACTCCAGAGAACTTCCACACTAAGGCCCCACCGCAAAGTTATTAATGAGCTGTTTAATTTTAATTAGATAGTAATTCATGTTAATGCCTGCTTAATGGAGCCAAATAATTCCCCTCGGTCACTCGGGGTCTTTATGCTTCGTTTACCAGTCCCTGCAGTTATTCTCTGCCTTTTGTTTTTATATTACATTTCCAAGTCGCTTTTTTTGTGTGTGAATGATGAAACAGTAAAAACAGGAAACATATGGGGTGAGTGACGCATGCAAGTGTTTGTGTGTTGAAGAGTGTGTATCAGCGAGAGTGGGAGCTAGTATCCATATGTTTGTGTCTATATTCCCTGCGTGTGTTTATGTTTCATTATCGTTTTAGTGCTTGTTTAATCAACTGAGCTTCTGTCTGTATGTGTGAGAAGTCAAACTACGTGGCCACAGTGAACACGCAGCATTGACCCCTCCACCACACATACACACACACACAGACACACACACACCCACACACACACACACCCACACACACACACACACACAGACACACACACACACAGACACTCTCCTAATGCACAGGCGACTACAGTAAATGCTTTAAGTCAGACCAAAGAAAAGGTCAAACTCCGTATTGAACACTAAGCAGGGTTAAACCCTCAGGTTGAGGTACAGGTGCAGAGACATTTGTAAGAGAGGTTGTGACCTTTATGTTCTAGGTGCTCACCTATAGAGGAGGCACCTGCGTGAGACAGCCCCCCCCCCTCCCTTGAAATAGTGAGGCTACGAGGGAGTGACCACACCAGTGTGTGTGTGTGTGTGTGTGTGTGTGTGTGTGTGTGTGTGTGTGTGTGTGTGTGGTGGAGTGGAGGGGTCAATGCTGTTGAGTCTGTCTCAGTTCTGTCTGGGTGCCTGGGCTCTAACGGAGCACTAAGCTGAGTGGTTGAATTAAGTTAGTGGCTACAGACAGGCTTTTAATTGCTGATTGACCAGTCTGAGTGCTTCCTGGGCTGGGGTCATTGCAGAGAGCAGGCGGGGAGGTCCCCAGGCCCCAGCGGCAATTTCAGCCACACGCAACCCAAGCGCCACGGAGGGGCAGGGAGAGATGAAGAGTGTAGGATGAAGGAAAGGTAGTTAGGACATGTGCGAGGGGGAAGGATAAGAGCCGAGAGACTTTTGAAAAAGTTAGAAAATTTGTTGTGCTGTATTTTCCTTCTTTACACGAGGTTTGATCTCAGGATTTACAGGCGGCGTGGGATCCGAGCAAACAGAAACACATATTGGTGACAGCGTTCCAGCGGCTGTGAGCAGAGCGAGATTTGAGGTCCACAGATTAGCAAGTTCAATGTTTACTCCTCCACAAAATCTCAGCTCCTTCATCTGTTTGACAATTATACATTTACTTTGTACCCGTTCTATCCACTTCTTTGCCCCTTCACTTTTGCCCTCCTTTATCCTCTCCTCTCTCCCCCCCCCCCGCCCTTCAGGCCTCTTTCCTCTTATTCTGCGCGAGGGCCACAAAAGCCCATTCTGCTGTTTTAGCGGGTTCGCTCCTCTCTCCTCCTCCTCCTCTCCTCCTCCCCGCTCACAGCAGGTGCCCGTCCTCGGCTAACATTTGTTATCTCTAATCCTGCAGGTTCGGCACACAAAAAGAGCGTAGTAAACTCTCTCTCAGGCCTAATCCCACCACTCCTTTTTTTGATGGCGCTCGCCCTCCTCTCCTCTTTTCTCCCCTCACTATCTCTCTTTTAGGCTGCTGGGGGGACACTCCTCTCCTCTGATTGCCACATAGCTTTTTATCACCACTGCCTTCAATTTGGGGGGCAGCTGTCGGTGGTGGGGGTGTCCTTTTTTGTCCCCCCTCACATTCTTAATACCTCCGATTCCAACTCTCTTTCCCCCCTTTTTCTCTCCCTCTGTCTCCTTTTTTTGCCCTCTCCTCCCTCGCTCTCTGTATCATTTACAGTCATTTTCTGGCAATTAAAATGGAACACTGCTGCAGGATTTTCGCCCGCAGTGCAACACTACAGTGCTGATGAATAATTCTTCACCCTGCAAACTGGAAAGCTAGCCTTTCTTTCATGTTGGCCCTTTGTTGATTTACCATTAAAACTTACTGCACCGTGCTATGAGTGGAGGGCCCGGCTCTGCGGGAACTGGCAAAAAGCAAAAATGAGGATGAAGCAGATATGTGTACATATGCTTTAGGGTCATTTTTTTGCAGCCTATGAGGAAGTCTGTGAGTTATATATATATGAGTCGTATATATTTGTGTTTATGGTTCAGATTTATGGTGCCTAAGCCTCTTTATTTATGTCCACTGTCTCGTTCTGTACCACTTAGGTTTTATGTTAATTTTTCTTATCAACGGTTTTCATTATGGGGCTTAGCTGTATTGTGTGAGTGATTAGACGGTCATTCATCTCTGTTTCTCTCTCTCTCACACACACACACACATACACGTGTACACTCTCTCTCACTCTCTGTATGACACACATGGCGAGCAGTGACTGATGTGTGGATGGAGTGTGTGAGGTGCTCAGGCTGCAGAGGCGGGGTGGTGTTGGCAGTATGTTAAATGATGTGGGACTCCAGGCAGAACCAGCCCATGGCAACGTCCTGGAGTGGTCTGCTCACTGCTTAAAGGATTTCAGTTTGAAGAACTTTATTTTACTAGATGGAAAAAAGTTTTCATTGGCCATGTTAAGTGCCACAATAATAAATAAAACCAGTGAAATAAATAGACTGGCTACTCTGAAATACAACATACAAGATAGAGCAGGCAATAACCAATCACTGCCTAAATTTAGATTTTGTGCACCTACAGTACTTTGTGTACCTAATCGACCCGGCAGTAAATTAGTCACATTACAGTATTCAAACTTGTTAATATTTAAGGAATCTTGTTTATTCAAACAACTACAATAATCAGTCTTTATCTACAGTTTATTTAAATGACCTCTTGCACTTTTGTAAATATTAACATACAAGAGTACCCACCAAACTTTATGTAAATATTTCTGGATGATCTGACAGGCAAATAGTTAAAGTACATACCATATCAGTGCATGCACCTTGAGCAGCAGGTTCCCGGGTCAATTCCACGACTCTCATCCTATTTCTCCTTCTCTGTCTCTATAAAAAAAAAACAGAAAATATATTTTTTAAATGAACTATTTTTGCAAGAAGTTGTTTTCACACCACAGGGGAAGTGTGAAGTGTGCATATATAGTCATAACAGTGTCAATGTCTTAATCCTAACCCAAGTTTTTCAGAACAGCAAAGTTGTCGTCGTTCAACCAAAAACCTAAATATATTTAGTTTAGATTCAGAAGAAGATGAAGATGATCGCATCTAGAAAATATGGAATCAGAATTTTGGCATTAAAAAGAAACAAAAGTTGTTTTAATTA